CAAAATCACTTGCTATAGCAAATAGGAGTTTAGCTGTAGTCCCCCCCCCGAACTAACTCTCGTTGCTTCTGATTGGAATTTCCATTTTTTGCTATGTTTATGTTTTTCATCGGCTAATCCCCCGCGATTGAGCGGATTCCAATGTAGCGTTTCCTGCAAATAATCCCCAATCGTGACCGGTGTTCCACCGCCGACGGCTAATTGGCACTCGTTGCATTTCAAGGTGGGCGTGGTAGTTGAAGTTTGACCTCGTTTGTACACTTAAAAGGGTAAAACCTATTTTGGCAATCCTCTCTTCCCTACATGTATACGATAGCCATCCTTCTACTCCTGCTGGCCACCTTGGCTGAAGCTCAATGGAACGTTCCGATTGGTGGCGCGAATTACAACCCTCTGATGGCTGGCGGCCAACTTCAACCAACAGGTAGGGATTTAAGCCATTTTTTCCTCCTCAGCAGCAAACGGGTAGGGATTCAACCTTGATTTCTGTCTCATAGGACTACTATACGTTTCCTCGAGGTTACCGTATTCCCTTTTAAGGTGGATTTTATGGATCTCCTCTCTCAAATCAACCAGCAAATAGTCAACTGGCTGCACAGTTCGGTTAGTTGGCACTTTTACCGATGCTTTACTAGGCCTTCCATTTGTGATTTTCTACCGATTGGGTAGCTTTTAGAGCGCTCTTGAGTTCGTGAGGAACACTATCTTTTAACTGACCTTTCAGCCCCTCAGTTTGCCCAGTTCGGGACTCAATATCCAGGCTATGGTGGCCAAAGCAACGCCATGGACCGATATCAAAGCGGCCAGATCACTCCGAACATGCCCATGGACACCTCGAGGCTCTTCCCAGCCTCACAGAGCACATATGGTCTACAACCTGGTCTACAACCGATGGGCTTCCCAAATCAACCACGACCTATTCAACAGCTGATCCATCAACCAGGTGCTTTTGGCCCTTATAGCGCCATTCAAGGAGGACCAACTGGTCCGATGGGCTACGGTGGAGGCATGCAACGAGGATATATAAGTTCCAAGGGCGATGACTTCATGGGGAACAATTCGAAAACGGGTAGATTTTTCAGAGGTTACTATTGAGAGTCATTGACAGGTTGTTACTGCTGATTCTCAAACTGATTGTTTAAAGGATCTCACCTCCCACATCCGACCAATCAGGGTACCGTTCACTTTCTGAAAGACAAAGCAAACGAAAACCAGGAAAGGTGAATTATTGCAGAGCTTCAATTGTTCCCTGTCTGCATGGATTCAACCAAGCAAACCAGACAGAGGACAGCGCTTGCTGTGAATGGTCTCTTTTTCTAGGTCCCACACAAACCATGAAAATAGCCCTTTTAGCTCAAGATTCCCAGTTTTAGTTCTATGCCATCGTCCAGCACCCAACATGGTCTGCAGCTGAAAAGAGTGCTAAAATCGAGGAGCTTGTCCGAAATATGAGCGCTGATACACAGGTAATCAACTTAGGATCCTGAAATCCTTCCTGATCGACGGGAGGTCCTATTTTTTCACAATCTCTCAATATCTTGCTTTTCAGAACACTTTTGCTCAGTATCAACGAGCCTCGTCCAGCGATCTCACCGCAAAGCGGCAACGGGTACACGAAATGGTTGCAGCAATGTCACCAGAAGCGCAGCAGCAGTTCCAGAAGGTCAGCCATTAGTACTTGGAGACGTTCGTTGTAGTAAAAAAAGAGGTAAAGGAAGACCAGGTGACCGAAAACACCACATCATGAAGGTTTTGCCAAGAGTGAGGTCCTCGTCGAGATTCAGCAACGGATGGGACCGTGAAGGTGTTTTAAGAGCGTCAATGTGGCTAACTAATGGATAATACTCTAATTGAATTTAGTTCTAATTTAATTATCTTATTTCATGGCTTTTTCTGGAACCTTTCATCAATTTATCAAAAAAAACTTCCTTCTCAAATAATCCATCACTTCCCCTTTACTACAATACGACCCCTCAACTTCCTTCCGCCATAACCCTTCTGAATCTTGCATACGAGCTACCTCCCACAACGCAGTAACTTACTTAATAGAATAGGCGCTCACGTCATCTGATGGGGTAGGACATTCACGTAAATAAGCCTGTAACTGGGTTTGGGACTAAGCCTTATAATTAGGGATAGGGGAGGATTTGAGCAATTTGTGTTCTCCCTGGTGCTTCTTCCCTTTCCTGGCTTATTGTTGGTCAGCCCACCTACCTATTTTGAATATGCACCCTAGGGACATGAGCGCCTAAAAATACGATGTTTATAGTTCCAGGTAGGATAGAGGAATTTGGGAGTACGATGAGACTAGAGCGAGACCACGGAGGAGAGTTGTAGAACTGTGACTACTAACGAGGTGATATCAATTTTTTGGGGAGTTATCTAGCAAAAGTGCCTCCAGGAACGGCCCACCCTAGTGGAACGCTAGTAGATAGAGGAAGCTTTCACTGGCTAGACTTCGTTTTTTGGACCCTGAAGAGATAAATTTCGTATTCGCGAGTACCCGATCAAATATCAATTTCTGTGCA